CCTGGCGGATCCAGGCAACATGCGGGGCAACAGCGACTACGAAGTGAAGTTGGAGTGGAGTGAGGGAACATTGGGGGCCAGTAAAGTCAATGGTACTCTCACTAGTGGTGACAAGGCACACAAACTCCTTGAAGTTGTCATTTTCTTGGAGCGTTTTGGTTATGTTCAGGAAACCGTCTGATTTAGTGAGTTGAGGGCCCTGGATGATTCCGTAGTCCTTAGCGTACCAGATCAAGAGAGCATGATAGGAATCCTCAGGAGGGCTACACATCAAGGAAACGGTCTGTCCCACACGATCAGCATGTACATGCTTGCATACTGGGGGAGTTTCTGTCACGTTCAGCACTATCAGTGTTGCTGAACCCTCCTTGTAGTCCAGGGATGGGGAGTAGCCAAAGCCGGAAGTTTCGGAATCAGTCATGTTATCTTCATCTCTTAACAGCCCACAGGAGTACTCGCCACTGTCTGTAGGACTTGCTCTTTGGATCCTCAACCGAAACGAGTACCGGTAACCATTGTACCGGTAGTTAAATACTGAGATATGGCTGTCGTTACTAGTAATTTGGTCACAGTGGGACAGCATGGTGGGTCCATGGTACCAGTATAGGTCGCGACAGTCTACCCTATCAGGGAATCGGCATTTGAGAACCACATTTGTACCAGCTTCCACTATCTGGCTCGGAGTGCTAATTGAAAAACTCAGAACAGAACTTGAGCTGGAACTCTTTGCTGTCCCAATACAAAAGGAACCGATTAGCAGACAAAATAGCTTCAGTGTTGCCATGATTGTTGCTCGGTCTGCGAATGAAACTTTTAAAATGCTCTGCAAAGGCCGTCAGTTTGTTAATAAGGAACTACAATGTTTTTTTTTTCCAAACAAAAGCATCATTGTTTTAACTTTGCGAATTTCTCTCATTTCCTTCCTCAACAGATGTCAATAAATCACTTAAGGATGAAGAAACAAAAGCTGGAAAATCAGATAAAGATTTGCTCTCAAATTTGTTGGCAAAATCTTCAAGTAAAAACACTTGCAACTCGCGTTAAGACATTACACGCGACACTTTCAAGCAGAATGCAGGAAAATTTGACAAAACAATTGACATCTCCATCCACGCCGTGCAATAGTACTTAAGGTTTAAGCAAAATTGTCTGCAATGGTTAACACAAGTTGTTTCTTCTTTTAAGCAGTGAAATACCACATCAAAAAAAAAAACCTGCTCGGCCTGGAGGAAAGGGGATGATTTGTTACTATTCAGAATCTTGGGTTGAGACTGACAGCATGCCAGAAAAGAAATGTCACAGGGAGTTTTATGCCATTAATAACTTTAAACCAAGTAAGTTATTAGCAATCATTTGGACATTTACTTTTTGGATAGCTGCAAATGATCTACTCTACCTTTAATTCCATTTCCCAGTGTTTTCTTTAATTGTCTACAATATATTTAAATGTCATATAACTGCCTCAGTAAGTTCACCTATTGGTCCAGAAGGTTTGTAAAAATTGGGTGTTTTTTTTTACATGCGAGGACATCAGCACTTGCAATTTCACTGTATATGAACTTTTTCTGGCCACATAAAACAATTAAACCCAAAAACTTGGAGCATGCAAAATTTCTATTCCATATGAACTCTGCATATGTACGCTAATATGCCTGGGTATTTCCATGGCCAACTGACCACATTCAGGAACTTTAATACACGAAAACTTTCAAATAAGTCTGGTCTACATCTTAATCTTTCCTGTTTCCTTATTTTAGAGGCCTGGTTTGGAGACGAGTTCCTTCTCTCTTGGCATACTTTCTAGCCACAACATTTTGAAAAAAACCACTCAGATCCAGGGATTAAGAATTACTTCACACTGTATATACTTCCTTTTTGTTACTGTAACAGGTTTTTTGATAGATTTGAAATGATTTTTCCAAAATTGACTTTTACATTTTAATTGAAGATCAACCAAACATGACATTTTATAACACCAAAATATGGTTTTCAGGGAATAGTGGGATGTGGTCTTATAAATCCACACAATCATAGCATTGCAATCACATTCGTATAAATTCCTCTTTTTTTTTATCTGGAGTAGAAAATCACATCTACGATGGAGGAGCTATTTATAACACTAGCCACTGGGATGGAGTCGTTGGTTGAGCTTGTCACAGGTTCAGATCACAAGCCCATCAAAAGTCAAGTAAGGTTGACACGTGACTAACATGTGACTGACTTGTGGTTGACATGTGACTGACTTGTGGTTGACATGTGACTGACTTGTGGTTGAAATGTGATTGACTTGTGGTTGACTTGTGATGGACTTATGATTGACTTGTGATTGACATAGGATTGACTTGTGAATGACAAGTGTTTGACTTGTAATAAGCTTAAGGTTGTCATATGATTGATTTATGATTGACTCGTGATGGACTTGTGATGGACTTGTGGAGGCTTGACCACAAATCTGCACCGAGACATACCTCTTACACCTGCTGAGGTCGTGGTATGTCATAGGGATTCTCCTCCCCATCGACAGGTCCCTGGTTAGCCCTTGTCCCCCGATGCTGCACCTGCATATTCACAAGCTCGTACCGGCACTCCTTGTCTGGCAACTCTGGAGGGACGTCACCTCTTATCCGCAATGTGGGAATGTCGTAGGCCACCTCTGTCGGATCTACAACACGCCTGCTCGCAGGTGGTTCTCCGTGGCTAGCCAGAGGCTTCATTTGAAAGACCTGGTAACGTTGCCTATCAGCACTGTTCTGCTGCGGAATCTCCAGTCTACGCTTCAGTCTCTTCCTCAGGATGCGATACATCAGGGCAACTGCCGCCACGGAGAGGCAAACACTCACCAGGATTCCAAGAACCACAGGGACAGCATGACTGTGGTTTGTCGCAGTGTTGTCTTCATCCAACTTCTCTCCTGCGCTGGTGTTGGTCAGTACTGACAACAACCCCCAGTGGCTGTGCTCTGTTTCCTGCAGGGCGTTGGAAGCCGTACACTTCACCCTGACGCCATTATCTTTGGTAGCTACTACCTCAGGAATCTGAAGCGCCCTGCCCTCGTCCAGTATCTTGTAGCGGCAAGATGAGCAGTCAGGCTCCACTGCGCTGATTTTGCCCCCCGACAGGACGTACCACCGATAGTGCTCGATATCAGACACTGACTGGGTCACGCAAGTGAAATTAGCCAGTTGGCCCTGGCGGACTTGGGCGACATGCGGGGCAACAGCGACTATGAAGTGAAGTTGGAGTGGAGCGAGGGAACAACTGGGCCAAGTTAAGTCAAGGGTCTCCTCCCCATTGGTGACAAGGCAGACGAACTCCTTGAAGTTGTCGTTTTCTTGGAGCGTAGTGGTAAAGGTCAGGAAACCGTCTGATTCGGTAAGTTCAGGGCCTTGGATGGTTCCGTAGTCCTCAGCGTACCAGATCAAGAGAGCATGATAGGAATCCTCAGGAGGGCTACACATCATGGAAACGGTCTGTCCCACATGATCAGCATGTACATGCTTGCATACTGGGGGAGTTTGTGTCACGTTAAGCACCATCAGTGTCGCTGAACCCTCCTCGTACTCCTGGGATAAGAAGTTGTCCTGGTATGAGTAGCCGGAAGTTTCGGTATCAGTCATGTTATCTTCATCTCTTAACAGCCCACAGGAGTACTCGCCACTGTCTGTAGGACTTGCTCTTTGGATCCTCAACCGAAACGAGTTTCCGTTGTAGTAAAATACTGAGATATGACTGTCGTTACTAGTAATTTGGTCACAGTGGGACAGCATGGTGGGTCCGCGGTACCAGTACAGGTTGCGACAGGCTACCCTACCAGGGAATCGGCATTTGAGAACCACATTTGTACCAGCTTCCACTATCTGGCTCGGAGTGCTTATTGAAAAACTCAGAACAGAGCTTGAGCTGGAACTCTTTGCTGTCCCAATACAAAAGGAACCGATTAGCAGACAAAAAAGCTTCAGTGTTGCCATGATTGTTGCTCGCCAGCAAATGAAACTTTTAAAAGGTTGTGCAAGACCAGCAGCTTATTTATAAGGAACTTCAACGCTATATTTCCAAACAAAAGCATTATTATTTTAACTTTGTGAATTTCTCTCATTTCCTTCCTGAACAGTGCACGTTCAATTAATTAAGGATGAAAAAAAAAATGCTGGAAAATCAGATAAAGATTTGAGGTCAAATTTGTTAGCAAAATCTTCAGTGAAACACTTGCAACTCATGTTAAGAGTCAACATTACACACGACACTTTCATGCAAAACTTTCATGGCGAAAAGGGTGGAGATTTTTTTATCAAAAAGGCAATTTACCACAACTTACAAACGACATACTGAAAAACCAGAGGTTTTTGTTCTGTTTTGTTCTTTTTCAGTATGTGGGTTTTGAAAATTATTTTCTTATTTACTTGGGTTTTTTTATACTATCCAGAATCTTGGGTTGAGACTTGGGCCCAGTTTCGGTTTTTTTTTTTTTTCAATTTATTTATTTAGTTGTTATTGTTTTACATTTTTTTTTACGCTCTATCCACAATCTTGGGTTGAGACTTGAGGCCAAATAACGGCTTAAGTTGCAAAAACAGTTTTGAAATTGACGACCAATATTTACTGCAGATTTTGATTGCTTGTGACTGTGTTTTGCATTTTTAACGCACCTAGGAGAACTGGCAATTTCCCAGGAAAAGTAACTTACCGGCTTAATAAAAAAAAAACTTCCTTAGAGTGAAGAAAGGACTAGTCCCAGATACCCAGTGAAATCAATCCACCTGAAATGCTTTTTTTTTTCGGAAGAAAACAATCACCAAAGGTGGTTTTCAACAAAACATAAGCAACAGAATGTAGTTGTCATGCACCCTTGGTATTCCACCAATTTCTGTTTCTTTCAACGCACGAAGTACAACTGATCCTATGTACCTTAACATTTAAGCATGTAAACACTGATCACTCCCAGCATATGAAATGACGGCGACTAGTCTTTTGAAGAAGACCATTAGTTCATTTATTGTGTGCAATTTTCTGCAGGACTTTTAATAACGACAAGCAATGCATGCCAACAGGAACTTAAAAATATGGACGTACAATAGTTAATAGTCTATTAACAATAAAAAATAACATGATCACATTGTGAAGTCTCCTCTCAATCATCTAAAAGACCTGCCATCATTATTTTTTTTTTCTCCAAAAAACACTAATTATTATTATTATTATTATTTTTTTTTTTTAGTTTTTTTTTAATTTTTATCACAGAAAGCTAGGTGAGTGAAGATAAGCACAAAATAATTGCACCAACAAGAATGTAACGTAGCATTAAAACCTGGCAATAGACAAAAAATTCAATTCTAAATAATGATTTTTTTTCTTTTCTTTTGTCTCCCATCAGAAAACAAAATCGGATTTTTACAAACTTTCAATTTCTTAACGCTCGGAATAGCCAACAGTACGTTCTGGGATATGAGCTTGAAACCTAACAATGCTGATATTGAACCATTAAATTAACAAAAAAATAATTATTAACAGCCGTGAAATAAAAGTTAGCTGCTAATTAACTAAAAATATTATTGTCCACGGTTTAAAACAAAATACAACCAAAAAGTATGTAAGTTGGACTGTCTATAGGAAGTTTATGCCTCTCTCTTGGATAAAACTCAAAGCTTGGGGTGAAAACAGACAAAAAAATGCACATTTAATCATCTTTTTTTTTTCATAATTACAGATCAAATATAAATAAGTGGTGTTCTTTTTTTATGAATAGCTACGACAGCTTAGCCCCAACACTGCAATCAGTCCTTCACAAGTGTAGCTTCGCTAAAAAATGGTTTTTCCTACATCAACAATTTACAATCAAACGCCCCGAGCAGTTACCAAGGTAACAGGTCGAGAAAACATAAAATACTTGAACATTTTGGTTTAATACATTTTTTTTTACCACATGGCCCCTTAGAACACAGCACTATAAATGTGCCTCAAACGCACCAAATTTTAAGGTACAAGTCTTCGGACGATGTGGTAAAAAAAAATAATTAAAAGTAAAAATCAGAAGAACAAAAGACCATGAAATTCTTTTTAGGAGATTCCAAAAAAGCCAAGGCATGGTTTAACTGACCAGACGCATTTAAAACAGTACATATTCAACACCTTTTTGTCTTAAAAAGATTCCTCCGATCACACACTTTTACAACAGACTAGAATTACTTACCAGGTACAACAGTACAAATGTTAACTTAAAAAGGTACATGTAGACCAAGTTAAGATCCGACAATATTACTCATTATTATACTTTAATCTAAAGAGAAAACAAAAAATACTGAAAAAGTCAGTTTGTTTCCTCCCCTTCTGTTGCTAAATATCACCACCCCCCTCCCCTTCCCAAAGATTTTTGGCAAGAAACATCCCCACAGTTATACAAGCATTCTTCACACTCATTTTCACAATTTTTTTTTTTTTTAAAGTACATGAATTCTCAAGATGTGTACTGTTATGTACTTTATGTGCTCGTGTACATTAAACCTATACACTTTCAAAAAGTCTGCAAACTCGTACCTTATACTTCCACAAGAAAAAAAGAAAACACTGTTCCGAAAAACAACCGTGATCGCTGCTACGTACCTTCAACCTTACTATGCTTGAACTTGTAAAACTGACATGCAGAAAAAGAAAAAGAAATAAAAATAAAAATATCAATAACTTTTTTTTTAATATCTTCGACAACAGCAGGCAGCTTAAATTTTTTTTAATGTTTCTTTTTTGACAAATCCTACGGTACAACTTCTGCAATACGTTCTAACATTCACATTTCTTAATAGTACATTCCCAACATGAACCCTGCTGCCAAAAAAGTGAAGGTGGATAACGCATTATCAAACAGCGTCCGTGTTACAACGTGTACACACATCAACGCGTAACCACCCATCAAAGTTTACCATGTATCTATGAATATATACATATACATTGTAAAATCTTACGTTACGTTCCCAAACATCCCCCCTTTTACTGTACTTTTTTAAAAAGAGTCTGCACAGCTGCTTAAATAAATGATTCTTGACAACTTTTAGGGAACCAAAAAACACAACAAACAAGGTGGTCTAGAGAAAATGCCACCAGTTTTTTATCGTCTGGTTTACAATACTCTTTGGGAAGTACGGGGTTCAATTTTTATGAGTTTGAAATGTCAAGTACGGGACAGTGGATGGAAAAGAAAGGAAAGCGTCTCAAGAATTAAAGTTGGTGCTGCATACTTTTGCAAAGCAATTCCTGTGAATTCATGCATTTATGCAAATTCTTGTTTTGTTTCCCTCGTCTTTTTTTGTTTCTTTTGAAAACCCTCGACAAAAGCTGTAATGCGCTTGCTTAACAATCAACCAATTGGGAAATGAATTGCTCGGCAAAGTTCTTAACTAAAGGCAGACAGTTTCAACAAGTCAACATTTAGCAGTGGCAGGCAGCCAGCGGCCGTGTGCATAAGTATCCAAACTCAATCGGTATGCTTTTCCATACGTAGCACAAAGAGGTACCAGACTAAGAAATTGCATCATTCTGCTCCAACTGCATGGGATTAAAACCAAACTGGTTCAGACCGGCTTTTACTTGTCCCCTTGCCAACTACCATCATAGTACTGCACACTTAATGATCCAAAAAATCTGCCTTAAAAATTCCCCAGAAATTCTGGCCTATTTCATAGTAAGCACGTAACTGAGAGAAAACCGTAAAGCAGACAAACAAAAACAAAAAAAAAGTGAAAGGGGCCTGGTCTTGGGTTTGCACAAGTACTGCTCAAACTTTTAACACATCACCTAAAATCCTTTCATTTCAGTGAAGTCAAAAAGCACAAATGTTCACCAACGCTCGTTTTTGTGTGGTTGCGATTCGGATCTTTTCAACGCCATCGCAGTATGGAACTCCGACAAATTTCCGATCAGATATTCTTCCCTTTTCCTACATCATTTCTGTTAAGCTTTTGCTCTGATATCAAAACAAATGAGCAACCTTACGAGATTGGGGGATCAGAAGTGAGACCAGCGCAAGATTTTTTTTTCTTCTTTCTTTCAAACTTTCACCTGATTTTACTCTTTCAAGCACCCCATCCGTAAGAAAAAACTTAAAAGTGGATTGCTTTGTAAATGAGTTGGACGAATTTGGTGTAACCGTTCAACCTCAGTATCTCCCCCACCTTTTTGCCCCCCCCCCCCTTCAACCAAAAATTCAATTTCAACTATCGTTCAGTTCTGCATAGTACTGATTTAAGTATTGGTTAACAATCTGTGGGATTCATTCATGTTTAACATCAAGCACTGGGATGTGACCTATGCCCCTTCAATACTCCACACATGAAGACAAAATTGTTTGTGAACTTATTCAAGTGCGGAATATACACAACCAAAAAAACCACATTTTTGTCTTGGACTAAAAACAGTGTAATCGTTCAAGGCATAGATATATATACTCACATCCTTTGATGCCAAATGATGATACATATATAAATACATATGGGTCCATATTTATTTATATACATATGATTTTTTTTTAAATAGCAACACACAGTACAAGAAACAAAACCAGGGACCCCAAAACTCATGTTTTAGGCCAGGCAGACAGCAGTGCACTTCTAAATAAACGACATCTTTTTTTTTCTATTTTTTTTTTTTAATTTTAATCCTTATTAACTACTAATCTTAAGTTATACACCAACTGTACAGTAATACATGCATGGACCAATTTAAAAAGGCCTGTTATTCTTCATCGGATCTAAATCTATTGTATGTGTTTATGACAGAAGTAGTGAAGGGCAGTTTTTTGTTGTGACGACGATCGTGTCCGATTCTTGTTTACATTTACTTATACATAGTTTGCAAGGTTTTGTTTAAATTCATCAACGTATGCATACCTGCCTTCAAAATCGGCAATTTGTTTTTTAAATAATTTTTTTAACTTTTTTTTTTTTGGTTTGGTCCCTTTGAAGGTTTTTATTTACTTTTAAACTTTTTTTTCAAAAAATTCAAAATCTGCCAGCACTTTTTTTTTCTTTTTTAAAACAAATGAATACAATGAACAGACATTAAGGCTGCGTGGGGATAGTTCGGAAACAAACTTCAAATCCTCGCTGCTTGCCTTAAACTGACTACATTGATTAACGGCACCAGTATCCTACACTTTGTCGTTTTCACGTGTTTGTAACCCAAATTACAGATCTATACAGCAATTAATTTGTTTTCATAATAATCTGTAGCTAAATATTTTAATGGCTATTATTGTCATGATTACTAGTCCGGCGTTGAGCGCATTTTTCCGTCTGTGTCTGTCGTTTCTTTATTTATTCTTTTTCTTCGGAAGGGGAGGGGAGAGGAGCCCCACAGTTGCGGCATTATGGCAAGGGATTCATTGTATCATTAATTTAAAAAAAAAAAAAACCAAAAAAAAAAAAAAAATGGAACAACACTAAAAACAAATTTAATAAATAGGCTAGTACTTACAATTTTAAATGAGTAGGCATTTGTGCATTTCAATTTTCAAACAAATAACATTCATTCCATAAAAATGGGCCCACTCCAAAAAGTGAGAGGGGAAGTTCACATCAATTTTAAAAAACAAATAATAAAAATATTGAGCTAAAATGAGCGGTGAACAAATGTTGAATATTCAACAAGTTTCCCCGAAATGACTAACCCCCAAGAGCAAGGACATTATCAACATTAGAAAAAAAGGTCAACCTGTAAAGGGTGGCCATCGTTGTCATGGTAAAACACCATTTTTTTTGTTTTCACTTCCATTCCATTAATATTAACATTATCAATATCAACACCGAGATTGTGATTAAAAAAAAAAATATGGTTAACGAAATTTGACGAAGAGTACATATCTTAGTGCCTAAAACATTTTATTCGTTTTCATCTTATCTCTCTCACTGTATGTTATGCCAACACAATTACAATATTTTTTTTTCATTTATGATTCAACACAGACCACCAATTGGATGAAATCTAGCACCACTAATAAACCTACAAGAATCCTAGCGACAATACAACACTACCCGGTTTCCCTATATATTCAATATAACCACCCCCACCCCCCCCCCCTTCCCAAAATTGACACAAGGTGGTCTAACAGGGTGTATTTTATAATAATTAACAAAAAAAAGACTGTGTTATTTCGCTTTATGTGAACTTGCAATACTTTTGTGTATTTTTCTGTGTTTTTTTTTTAGCTGTAAGACACTAATGGTTTGGCCAAACCCAATTCATCTTAAAAACGTCTATGAAATACTGGATTTTTTTTCTTCACCATTGCCCGTGTGATTCTGGTTTGTTTGTTTGCGTGTCTATCCTCCACAAAGGTTTTGCCGGAAGCTTACGTTAATTCTGTCAATTCCTCCGCTGGATCCCATTTCCCATTTTCTTAAAAATTGCATCAGTTCGACTTTCGACGGAGTTGTCAAACAAAACGAACAACTCGATTTCCATGCGTCAGCTAAACAATAAAACAGCACTATGCAATTAAAAGGCGTTAGTAACAATTTTGTTTTTTTCTTTTGTACACTGGCAAGTGAGCCTGACACACAAATGTCAACCACATACCAATTCTGACCCCTGACCTCAAGGTCATTTGAGGTCATTTGAGGTCACAACTTGCCCAATGGGCGTGTGTGGCAGTATCAATGGAAACAAAAACGAAGATCGTCTGCTGATTCCTTGCTAAAAAAAAAACCAAAAAAAAAACCAAAAAAACAATTGCCATTAATCAGAAGATAAACTAGTATCACAGAAGTAAAATATTTTCAGTTTTTTTAAATATATATATATATATAAAAGAAAATTACTTAAATATTAAACATTTGGACAAAAAAAAACAAGAGATGAAACTGAGTATCTCCACTGTACTGATATTTGTAGACATCATCCAGGGAATATCGATAAAAAGTCTGACGTCCAGCAAGCTGTCTGGTTTCTGACTCGGGTACATATATCTATTCTTTTTCTTCCTTTTTCCTTTTGGGTTTTTTGTGTGTGTGTGAATGTTTTCCTAACATTGAAAATGCAGAGCTTTCAATCAAAGTGTACCAATATGAGACAGCTAGTGGTTCCGCGGCGGGGGCTGCATGCAGCACCAAATTGCGGGCGTCATCGTTTTTATTTCTTTTTGTTTTAAAAATGTCCAAATAAGGACACTGTCCAGAAAAAAATGCCAGTGTCCCATGGGCAGCTGCTGCGTACATGATGCAGGGAACCGGCCAAAAGAATGGTGGGAACCGGTTCTGTGCTGGTGGTGTCCGGTGTTTTGATTTGGGGTTTTTTCCCCCAAAAAGGAAAAAAAAAATTCCACACAATCAGCAACAACTTCCTCACGCTTGAACTTCCAGTTGAATAAATCAATAAAGACCTGCTCTTCTTGATGCCAGTTGCTTTTACTTTTTTTTTCTTTTACTGAACAACTTTTTCCAGAAAGTCCAAAACGTGCCGGCACGTTGTTTTAAAAAAAGTCTGAAAACGGTCCCCAAAATGTTATCCTTTTTTTGGTGACAATTTCTCTCACTCCCTCACTGTTAAAAAACAAAGAAAACTTCCAAGACAAAAAATGTTTTTTTTTAAAATCCGCACGAAAGTGTTGCCCTAGTGTGTTTTCACCGTTCATGTACGCAAGACTGCAACTTTTACACATTCGTGACAGTCATTCGGTGACGTGTTACGTTGTAACAACAGTCGTAGAAAAAATGGCTAGCGTGATTGAAAATACAACAAAAGGCTACGTGGCTAGGACCCCCCGGCCTCTGGGTGAGATGACGGCTCACACTGGGTCGGCCGGTGGACAACAAATCACGCTCTCTCTCCCTCGCTCTCACTCTAAAACACTACACCAGGTTGTACTCCTTGAGATTCAACTGGAGGATGGTATCCTTGACGGCCGCAAACACAAAGCGAATATTCTCCGTGTCGGTGGCGCAGGTAAAATGGGAATAGATGATCTTATCGCTGTCTGGGTTCAGCTCCACGAACATCTTCAGGATAAATTCCCTGGCTGCCTGGGCATCACGCTGTGGACCTGTGGGGGGGGGGGGGGGAGTTGGCAGGAGAGAAGGTGAGAAGAAGTCAGAAAACAATAGTTTAAGATTCTAGCTGTGCTTACTGCCTTCAGTCTCCATGAAATGGAGAACTTCTCACTAGTAGGCAGTAGGCAGTAGGTCGTGGGTTCGAGTCCCACTCCAGTAAGCTCGTGAATTTTTACAAAAAGCCCCAGACAGCAATGAGTATACAGTGCTTATGTTATGGGCGCTTTTTGAACACATTTGAGAGTCCCATAGAGGACACAAACTGCTCACGCGTACTTGTTCTCGCACGTACATGTATAACGCGAAGTACGCAAAGTTTATTCTGAATGTGCACAAAGTGGTGCAGAATTAATGTGATGTTGGGCAGAACACAGCAGTGTTTTACCGGCGGTTCAAAACCACCCACGTGACAGGCTCTTGATCAATAGGAATTGGTAAACAGTCTCAGGTATTTATAATTTAAAAAAATGAAAGGAGAAGAAAATTGGAAAGCCTATCAAAAAAAAAGCTATCATGCCTATACTTCACATGAATGCGAATGAGAAGGGAATCAGACTTCAGAAGACATTCCCTACCAAATTCACCAGAGTTGAAATGTGTTCAACTTTTGCGAAATTTGCAGCACGAATACTAGCAGAGACGTCACAAAGTCGCGCTCGCTTTCGCATTTGAGCGAAGTGTGAACCGATGTAGTGTATAATTTGGACTCTATGAAATACAGACTCGTTGGTTGTAATGCGCATGAGTAAGTGAAGATACCTGGGACAGTGACAGGATGTGTGAGGGTTTAAGTCCATATAAGGTAAAGAGACCAGATTTTAACAGCAGTCCAAATTTCATACCACACCAGTTTTTTTTTGGTGTGCATTTATGGGTCATATGGGAACCAGGTACCCTATTAGGTGAAACGTGAGTACCCGGGGTACCCGTAAAAGAAACCCAAGTGAAGTGTAGTCACGCCCATTGGCTAGTCCGAGCCGGCACGGGAGCGGCGGCAAACATCACCGCAACGCCCCAGTTACATTCTTGCATTGAGACACGCCCGTCTGTCAGAATCAGTGATGTTAGTTACGGGTACCCATCCCATAATCCGGAACCGGTTCCTGACATCAGCTGTCAGCTCCTCGGGTATCCAGTTCCGATACACACCCCTGAACAGTCCTGAAACCTCCAATTTCAAATATGATTTTTTTTTGGCACACACCTGAGGGAGTTGGGGTTAAATTAAGAGAGTTCTCACCGTCAAACTCTGGGAAGTAATCTACGAGATGTGAGTGCATGATCTTCTCCTCCAGTAGGTCTTTCTTGTTGAGGAACAGGATAACCGATGAGTTCTGGAACCAGGGATATGTGATAATTGTCCTAAACAACGCTTTGCTCTCCTCCATCCGATTCTGTAAGAGAGGACAGGAACACAAATTGTAACAAAACAATCAGTATGAGACTAAATCTGAAATGACTTGGCTACGGCTAACATGGCTACGGCTAATATGGCTACGGCTAAGTATGGAAAACAGCTGAAGCCGCTTCCCATAGATACCTGTTGGAGCCAGCCATAGCCAAGCAGTGGAGCTATCAATTAAGCCCCTCCCCATGGTATTGGCCAATCACAGCCATGACTAATATCCCACACATGTCCAGCAAAGTCTGGCGTGTGATGCACGCATGTATCAGGCATACAACTGGGAAGTGACCAAAAAAAGAGGAAATTCGAAACTTTACAAGACTTTGACACAGTGTTTTTCAATTTTTAATGGCACGGAAATCTGCTGATGCCTGGTGTATGATGCGCACGCAACTGGAAATTTAGAAAGAACAAGGAAATTCCAAACCACACAAGACTTAGTACAGTGTTTTTCAATTTGTAATGGCATTCATGAGAAGTAAAAAACAAGGAAATCAGCGGATCCGAGGAAAAGTTGCATGCCTGATCGGGGAGGCGCACGTGTTGTTGACCATAGTGCGCACTTGGCAGGGCCAAATGCAGCAGTCTATTAGGACGTGACCTAAGACTCTGCATGCAATAAATGGCCGAGTAAATCATATGAAATATCAAAACTTTTAAGGACTGTTCGTACTTCATTAATTTATCGTGGAGAGAAGTTTTGGAGGATTGGTCGAGTCTCTACTGCTTAAAAGCCTCTTCATACTTTACGCGAAAGCGAAAGCAAATGCAAATGGATTTTCATGATGTCAACAATTGAATGTTCATTGTGAGGTTCGCTGTTATCATAACGAATTTGCCTTGCACAGCAATATGGACCAACAGTGTGCAAGTGGGTTCCTGAACAAGTGAGGGTTTTGGAGATTTACGGTGTGAAAAAGGGTCAGAAGTGTTCAGCAAAAAGTCGCACAGAGTAAGGACTAAAGTAGAGATGAATGCCTCAATAGGAAAAACAAAGTTTGTGTCGCGACAATGGCTTTGCAGTCCCGGGGGGGGGGGGGGGGGAGGGGGTTGAAACTGCAGTGTTACTATTCTTATGCTGGGGAAACCTTTCGTTTATTATGGTCATCCAGAGTTTTTTAAAGAAAACAAAACAGAAAAAAACAAAGCTATGCAAAATCATAATGAAGCCCATTCTCAGCATGTCTCTGTTCACAAACAGAAGCCAGATTTGTCCTCAGTTATTCAGAACACTGTAGACATACAAAATACTTGCTTTTTCAAGACGCGTCGTTTCTTTTAAGGTTTTGGGAAACCTTAAAATTGCAACAAAGGCAAAGCAAATATTACACTAATTGTTATGCACTGTTCAAAACTGTCGCACAGTGATACAATAACAGTAATTGTTATGCACTGTTCAAAACTGTCGCACAGTGATACAATTTTGGCTGAGGAAGTCTTACCAGGGCCAAATGTGGGTTGTTGTTTTGTTTGTTTCAGCAGACCAGTGTTCAGATAAGACAAATGTGCATAGAAACGTGTGTTTATCGGAAAGCAGAAAGTTATGTTGCACTGCGATGGTCAGTTTGGCCTGCTATGCCAGCCAAATTGTAAGTAGGGGCCACGTTGGTCACAACTGGACACGAAAGCAGGGAGAAGCATCATACCGTTCCATCGAAAAATCTCTTGAGATCCTCCAAAATCCACCAGGAAGTTTCGAAGAATTTTTGCAGGATTGCAGAAGGCAATTAACAGCCCCTGTCGTCTTTATATGGAGCTCGGTGCCCCTTGAAAGTACAAAGAGTGTACCAATGGGGCTCTAGCATGGTGGTTGATTTGGGGTTAATTAAGGAGGACTCCAAGAACAGGAGTGTGGTCCACTGGTTAGGGTTTGTAACTCATTATCAGAAGGTCAGGGGTTCGAATCCAGCATTCTTGGGCCAGCCACTTCACCCCCACTTGCCTCTCTCCACCCAGGAGTATAAATGGATCCCAGCATTAGCTGGGGAGTAACCTGCGATGGACCAGCATCCCATCCAGGGGGAACGGAAACATTCTCACTTGTTTCATGCCAAGGCAACCGGAGATAACGCCACCCCAATGAGCTATTTTTGCCTTGGGACAGACTTTACAAACCGAGGGAAGGTTTCAGGCATAAATTGGGGTTAACAAATGGTTTAAGGAAAGCCAATATGGATATACCTCACTATCTGATTCAACCAAGACTTGGTCATATTCACTTAAGGCGACTAGGAACATGATGGATGTGACGTTCTCGAAGCAGTGAATCCACTTACGTCGCTCTGATCTCTGACCTCCTACGTCGACCATTCTGGAATGGGCAAAACAGATCATCAATGCTGGTCAATTTAAATTAATCTGTATAATTGCTTCCAAGGCAAGAATTTAAGAAATTGGCAATATGCCATATTTTGAGCAAATAAGGCATCATTTGGAAACCATTTTTGTGTAAAAACAGTAGTAAATATCAAGTAACGGTATACTGAAGCAATTGTGTATCTTTACTTCAATCTTAAAATTACACATTTGAAGTGGCATCATCTAATTATAGCAAAATGTAAATTGACGTCAATAAGTTCTGTATCACGCCTGTATATAGCCCAAAATGACGTCATTATAGTTCCTTCACGCAATCTAAAATATATAATTAACAAAGGAAGACAGCAGCCACAAGATGGCCTGCAGAACATGGCCACTGCAATAAAAAAAAAAAAAAAGCTGCAAGATGGCCACCACAAACTAGCTGCCATAAAATTGTCCCCATAATATGGCCAGCAAACAATGGCCACCACAAATGGCTAACACTTGGCTGCAAAACGATGGTCGCCATTTTTAGGCCGCCATTTTTAGGCCGCCATTTTTAGGCTGCCATTTTTAGGCTGCCACAAGATGGCTGCCAAAAGATGGTCGCCAAAACATGGCCACCACAAGATGGCTGCCACAAGGTGGCCGCCAAAAATTGAGTGCCACAAGGTGGCCGCCAAAAGATGGTTGCCAAAAAAAATGGCCTCAAAATACTTACCTGAAAATAATGGAGTCTAAATCGAATGGGTACTCGATGATGCCTGTCGTAGGCACTCGTACTCTCAATACATCTTGTTCTGTGGGAACGTAGTTTGCATTAGCAATTCGCCTTAAATCGGAAAGGTAGCTGCAGGAGAAAACAGAAGACAAAAAATACAAAGTAAGCCAACTTTCTTAGGTTTTTACTTGATTGGAGTAATTTCCCTTACGTCTGAGACACAAGTTACACGTAAGATGAGTTTGATAAAAGTGTATGCAATCCATGTGTACAGCAGTTCATACTTTGTTTCGTACAGCTGCAATGTATGCGCACCATTTTTGCTAAGCACCGAAACATTTTACTGAGCAAACGTGGGTTACAAGAACGAGTGTCACATCCTGCTTGCTCTTTGTGACTGGTCCTACATGTAAGATCGCATCCAAATTGCTTGGCTGTGGCTAGCAATTACGCACGTGCCTATGGAAGCGGCTGTGGCCACTGCCCATTGACTAGTGTGATATTCCTAGCCGTAGCCACATAATTCGCACACGGCCTAAGCTGACGTCTGCCCAATCAATGCTTAGCTTGGCCAGCTCGATAGGCTGAATCCAGGGGTCAAACTTGCAGAGCTGTTACATGCCAGAAATCATGCTCATAAATTTCATCAAAAGTCAATTTATATGGAAGTGTAAAATAAAATAGCCCCACTTTCTTAGCCAATTAACAGCAAGTCACAAGCATTCGTAATAGGTCTCTCAAATGATGTCATTTCCTACAGACCAGCCACGTGCATCGGCATTTTGAGCGTCAACTTGCATATAACATGCATCGGCTGCGTCATATTTCGAACACATTTCGAGCAACAAGCGTGCATGTTTGGAACATTTTCAACACTGCGTTATGCGTGTTCGAGTGCGTAAAATACAGTTGCAGTTCTCCTACAGAGATGGCCGTCTTTGAGAGAGACCTATTGTACAAAAAAAAAAAAATTATTCATGCTGAACACATTGTGTGCACTTAACAACTTACGGGACCGAATGCTTCTCAGCAACAATGTTTAGATTTGCTTTGCAGTCCCTGACCTACATAATCGTTTTGTCTATTGTAATTTACATGTGCTTTGTTGGTTATGTTATTGTTCACCTCATTGGGGAACCCTTTCACTAAGTGCATGCCCTCCTTTTTGTGATTTTCTGTATTTTTATTTTTTTTGGTTATTTGCTGTTTCTTTTCCTTCTTTACATTCCGTTTCGTTTGTTATTATTTATTTTTTTCTCAGCTACCGTACTTTTTGTGGCATTACTTGTTTTCGTAACACTGTCTACATCTTGTTTCTTGACGTCAAACAAAAAATAATAACTTCATCAAATGAACCCAACTCGTAAAAAGCAATTGAAAATGTCAGATCGGGTGGAATTTTTTTGGTTTTTTTTCTCGGGCCGGAGTGAAATTAATCTTTTCTCTCAACTTTGTTAATTGCAACATCAATTTCAAACCAAATTTTGTACCAAAAGATCATATAAGGCCAAAAAAAAAATATTTGGTCTCTGGTCAGACCAAAGTTCCGGAATTGACGCGGCCACGCGGCTTTTTTTTTTTTTTTTTGCTTGTTTTCTTTTTTTCTTCAAGCTTGGATTGTACAGACAAGGTAGGTACTATTTTGCTTTTTTGGTGTCCTCATGTACATTGGTGTCCTCCATAATTTGCCTTGGTGCTTTCGATCATTCGCCTTTGTGCAAATTCCCATTCCTTGGTGCTCTTTGGTTAAAAAAAATTGAGGTGCGGAAATAGAGGGCGCTGTTGGAGCTACCGCGGAACATTTTGGAAAAAAAAAAGCTCGGCGCGCATGATTAAAATCGACGCGCGCGCTGACCACAGACCGACTTATTTATTTTTTTTGGCCTAACAAAAGTTTGACATTTTAAGAACACTTGTACATGTATGTATGTAGCTAGTGACGTTCTCTTCACCACACTATGCAAACCACTCCCCTTCCCTCTCCCCTAACATCCCAAGGTGCTGTCCCCAACCCAGTTGTAGCCGACACCATCCTGGAATTTTTACCATTTTTATTTAAGTTTTTGTTAAATGGTCGGCAGTGCAGTCTTGCAAAGCCGGCCGTGCACTGAAGCCTATAAACAGAGCAGCAAAGGCAGAATGTGCAATTGATTCATGTGTTGACTAATACAAATGCATGCAAAAACATTTTTTTTAAATTTAATTGACAACCATCCCATCCTATTTTTTCTGGTATAAATTTACAACACAAAAATCCAAAAAAAAATTTCTAATGTAATAGGAAACACATTTTTTCCCGCCTAAGTTACATACTGTATGCACAATTACATGTAGATACATGTAGTATTAAGCAAATATGTATTACTGTGTGCCACAATGAAAGTTGTCTATATTTGTTGATATTACATAAATTACATGTACCGGTAACATGATCATTATGTATATGAAAGTAGCACATGTGCATCCGTGTACCGGTATTTATTGCTCATCCCTTTGCGTACTGTGCATGTACACGCAGGTACATTACATGTATGTCTATGACTTCAACATCTGCCAAATGTGTGATACTTGAAACAAGTCTAGCAACCTTAATCAAAAACGTACATGTACATATGTACATGTACTCGCATAATTGTACATGTCCTTGTCTCAACAACTGTGTACATCCAGTAAATTTATGTCAACATGTTCAGAATGCACTGTAACATGTACATTTGTAAATGTAAAGAATGCTATGAATTTTTGTATTTTGTGTCCCATAAAATTATCATTATTCAAGTTGTGGCTTTAATGTATAATTTACATGCAGGGTTGGATATTCAAGAGGAAATCTTATTAATTTGTACATGAATTACATGCAGTATGATTTGATTGACTTTGATTCATTTTGTGAATTTATACGAGTAGAGATGTACATGTATTCAGATAAAAATATAGAATTTGACTTTTTGAAATTAATCTACAGTAAGAACAAAATCATCTTCTCACTGATGAATTTTCTTTTAATCATGGCAAATTTGTTGTGGTTTATTTTCTGCCGCTTGCATAACACTATTTTGTTTCTTTCTATAGCCTCCCTATAGAAACCCATCCCCGCCTGTATTATCACAGAGCTGTGCCGGGGATGGCACTGTTGAGCACGTCCCTGAGCATGTGTCAGAGTGATTGGACTTTGAGCCAGCAATTAGAAGCAGCCCAGTACCAGCGCCCTAGTGATGGCCGCAGCCAGCCAGCCAGCCAGCCAGCGACAGAACCAACGAGCAATGCAGACCGAATAAGCAGCAGGCCGTTAGTGCATGCAGACATGCGAGTGCCTGTACATGTATGGTACATCCCTCATTGTATATTGATGGGGCTACATGTGCATAGTATGTACACACTGCACGTACAACAGGCTCCGGCCAGTAATATATCCCGGGCTGAAGAGGAGTGTCACATGACCTTAATAAATGCATGGGGCAGGGATGAGCAGATAAAATAATAAAAACCTACGCAGCGTCGCTCCGTCAAATGCAGTCAGTGATGACTCCAATTTTCCAACCCTGTCCAAAAATAAAATATTTCCCACAGCTGAACCCCCCCCCCAAAAAGCTAATCAAGAAATTGCTGTTACTGTTTCCTTTTGTGATTCTGCGTATGTTTCTATTTTGAATTCTTCCCACTTATTAAATTTTTTGTTTTCTTCCTAATTTTGTTTTAATTTTTCCAAAACAAGATTCTGTCAAAACAATTTGCACTTCTTGTTTTTTCCTGTTCTCACTTTTGTAACTTTTTGATTTGTTTTTTTGTTTTTTCTTTTCATTTTTGTATAAATTATTCAACCTCCCGTCACTTCCAAGGCTAACAAACAATTCAATCAATCTAAACGAAAGTCTTTTTTTCCCCCTTTTTTCTGGCAATGGTTACCCAGGCCTGGTTGAACAGACCGCCAACCTAGCCAAGGCAACCGGCGTGTATATACCGCCACCGTTTGTCTGCCTACTTCCAGCTCGTTTGACGTCAACGCTCTGACGCATGGGAAACGTGGCTCTATATAGCGACGGTCGTTTCATCTATTTACAGCGAGGGGGGGGGGGGGGCAGGTTGACCTTGTGCATTATCCCCATACAGCCTCCTCCAAATTGCAACAGATTGCAGCTGTATTTAGACCCATTTCCTGCCCATTTTGAAAACAAAAAGAGCACTGCAAATCCCACATTTCTACATTGTAAATCATTTTTTAATTTCTTTTTAATGTCAGGCTTGGATTTTCTAAAGTAGAATCTCTTTTTTATTATGTACATGTACATGAACACAATGCGATTCAGTAAATTGTGATTCTCAATTGTTTTGATTTTGCTCCTCTATGGGTTTTTCCCTATAAAAAAGAAAACTCAAATAGTTATCCTTAGTAGAAGTCAATTAACAAAATCAACAGGTTTCATTCTTTCTGGTAGGTTGGTGGTGGTAATAGGGGAAGGGTTAAGGGAGAATGTGAAATTAAACAGGTGGCAATTCAAGGTTTACCTTGAGGTTTACCTTGCAATTTACCTTGAAGTTTACCTAGAGGTTTTTATCTAGAGGTGCACCTTGAGGTTTACCTAGAGGTTTTTTATCGAGAGGTGCACCTTAAGGTTTACCTAGAGGTTTTTATCTAGAGGTTCACCTTGAAGTTTACCTTGAGGTTTTTATCTTGAGGTTTACCTTGAGGTTTTATGAGATTCTACAGGTTTACTTTGAGGTTTTGTGAGATTCTACAGGGTTTTATGGGATACCTCAGGGTTGAACCTCTAGTCGCTGCTTCTATAAACAGGCATACAGGATTGTTTGCTTTTCATGCATTTGTATGTTCCTATTAGCAACACCAGTCAAAATCCAAGATGAATGTTCAAAAACCTCACTCAGTGGATATTACACTGAGAAAAAAAAACAACACAACTTTATGATCCCCAAAACACGATTTTGTCATTAATAGTCTTCATTTCCAAAAATCAGTCATTTGACTGATTGTTGGAAATGTCATGATTTCTTTTAAAATGATAGCAAACCAGACAGAATATTTTCACTGGGTTGTAACAGTCCTATCTTTTACATAAATAATTTTTTGACAATTCAGTGTGTTACTTTTTGGAAAAATGCAAATGAACCTACGGTAGATGTGCCTTTAATTTTGCACCGTTCCATTAGTTGATCAGGGATATTAATCTTCTGGTTGAGGGTTTAACATACATGTACAAGGTGTATGAAAAAGGTAATTTTTTTTAATTCCACCATAAAAACAGAGACTGGTTGCGGTACCCGTGAATACAAAACTTACTATTTTGCTGAATCTGTGAGCTGGTATTCTCTTCTTCTGTCGTAGCACTCCTGTATACCTGAATCGGCCCATATACTTTCTATGTACGTTACGTTTGGTTCTACGAACTGTGTTACTGTCTCATGGTCTATTAATCTAACATCTGCCGACTTTCTCTGTGGACAGAAAAGAAAAACGAAACATTAGGAAAATTATCAGAGTCATTTACAGACACTTACTAAAGATCACAAATAATGCTGATTCAATTTCATTTGGTCTTCTTGCATCCATTTATCTGCATTACACACTGACCTCTACAAATTACTATTGTGTATTTTTCCCCCCGTAAATTTATGTTTCTTTATAATGCATGGCTGAGCATAAACAATGCAGGGTACAGCCTGCGGCCTGGACACAATGCAACCTCCAAAATCAACTGACACCTTTTTTTGACATGCAGCCTCAATCCTACAATTAAAAAAAAAACCACTTGATTGATTTTGGAGGATTGAGGATGTTACGGATAATTCAGGAAAAGGTTACAAAGTTGGAGTGTGAGGTTTTAAGGCACGTAGAGAGGAAGATGTTTGAACGGAGGTCTGAGAATCAGAACGATTTTTTTTTTATCAACAGCAGGTAAAGAAAACCAAATTCCAAGATGTTGTCACACGTACTAGCTGAAATCACTCCCCACCCACTGAAATTTGAGTCCTATGTGTAGGCAAGCGACTTGTGACATCATCCACAGGAACTATGACACAACAGAACACTTCACAATGCAGTTGACATGTTCTTTGGCCCAAAAACATGGTCTACCCATTCAATGGCATTTTGATCGAGACAAGCTCCCTTTTTGTCCGCACAGCCGTGTGATACAAGAAAATCCATGGCCGAGGCATCTCGATGCATGTACCTCATCCCACACAACCAGACTAAGCCACTGTCTGGATGAATGGCCATTGTGTCCGTAAGCTTTGTCCCAATTCTGAATTGGGATTCTTGTGGTCACAAAGTGTCAACTGCTCAGAGGCCTAGTGCACTGTATAGGTCTATTTCATATTTTTTTTTTTTTCTGGCAATCCCTGGAACAACACAGTGTTTTTTGTACGGTGAAGGGCAAAACCCAATATTGATTTCATGTATTTCATGGAATTAAGGAATTTTATGGGTCACAATTACAAAACTAAAAATGCTGTTATTTTTGTTTCTTTCCTTCCACCCCCCCCCCCCCCCCCCATCTTGCTGGGTGTACATGCAGGTCTACATATTCCGCAAAAAAAGTGCAACCCACACTTTTGTTTCATCGTGGGACATCCACCAAATGATTTCTCTTGAACTGATGATAATAAGCCCATATCGTATGACTTCATCCATTTTAATTATTCTTTGAAATGGCCTGTATCCGTAGCAGTGCTTACTAATACAACGGAACATCTGCTTGACAAGTTTTGACCATCGACATACAGCTAGTGATTTGCCATTATCAAAAATGAAAACAATGCATTAGTGACAATGCATTCCAGTTCACCCATTACATTGTACATGTTGTAGTTTGAAAAAAAAAACTACAACTAGGCATTTTTGCCAGGATGCAAAATCCTCCAACTGAATCCATGTAAAAATTGCATACAGCCTCAATCCTGCAAAATCCTCCTTAATTTCTTGAATATGGTCCTTGGAGGGATGACCACTACCTCAATCCTGCCAAATCCTCCGCAAATCACTGTCAATATGTTGAGGTAGAGCCAGTGACATCCTGGAGCAGTGTGGACGATTTCAAATATAATCTAGGCCTAAATTTATGCACGGCTGAGCATAAACAGAACAAGGACCGGCCCAAGACCTTGACACAGTGCATCCTCCAAAATCAGCCACACATTTTTGCCATATACATGTAGCCTCAATCCTGCAAAATCCTCCATTTTACAAAGAGGATTTTTGGAGGATTTGGGAAGGTTGTGGTTAATCATTGTCATACATAAATGTACAGACACACAGGTGCAATGAATGCACAATGTTAATTTTAACTAAAGCTCATAGCAATCATCAAGAGACCATTTTGAAATACATGTAATTCGTAATTTAAAAGAATGGAGAATTGTAATTTTTTGTAACGAAAATTGCTAATGTATAGAGAATTCAGCTACAGTTTGTAATGTTTTTAGTATGAAACCTGTTAAGTTCGCTTCTTTGGTTGAATTGAATTTCATTTTAAAGGGCAATCCTTTATTCATCCTGTTTCCATCTCATGAACTGCCCTGTTGTGTACCTGCATATTTTTATGCAGTTGCTTTAATACTATGAATATACATGTACATTGTAACATTTACATGTACTGGTACATGTACCGATACGTACATGTACTTGTACTGTATGGTACATGTATGTGAAATATTCATTGGGGAAAAACAATGTACTGGTATGATCTTTCTGAACTGTTACATAAATGTAATCATAATAGCTTAATTAAAAACAAATTTGCCCAAGTTCAAAAGTGTCCCCAATAAACTGCGATGCATAATGGATTAGAATTTACATTATGTATCCTTTTCCCCCCCCCCCTTCATTTTTAATGTGCCTTCTGCTTTGCAAGTGGTTGTACATGCAAACATACATGTACATGTACCTGTACCGGTAATAAAGTACATGTACATGTACCGTATGTATCTATGCATGTTGTAATAGCCCAGGTACCCAGCTTAGAATGTTAAGAATTGCATTTCTCAATGGACCTCCTAGTGGCGAATCTCCTGGAGTTGATGGGGTCAAGGTCAGGAATTAAAAAAAAAATATGAAATTTCTGAAGTGATGTCTAATTTCATTATTTCAAGGATTGAGTGAGTTTTACGATGTATGTGATTAGTACAAAGAATTCCCTCAAAACAAGCTCATCTCTCAGTAACAAATTTGAGCAGAAAATATCCTTGTCATTCTTCGATTGAACATACATGAAAATACGTTCCTGGAATTAAACCGCAAACGTCATAGCAACGGACAAAAAAAATAATTGTAAAAAAAAAAAATGCTGGGCCTAGCTCAGCACATTCTACACAATTTGATTTCCCATTTCCTTGCTGAAACAGCAGAGGGATTGAGTTAAATTCACAGGTAACACACAGAGCTTTTTCCTTGTTTAGCCGGCCCGAGCTCTTTCACTCGCTACATGTACATGAACAGTCAGTTTCCTTCTCAATCAAATTACAATGCACAAGGAAGAACGGGACATAATCACCCCCATAGAGTCCGCTCATTCAAGTCATCTCCAGACCCGGAAATTATAATACCGGGGAAGGCAGGTTGGTGCCGCTTGCGCTGATACCTGCCGGCCATGTAGGCTTCTGCCTTGACCCACAATTGGTGGTTGGGGTGGGGGGGGGAGGGGAGAAGGGAACCAATGGTTACCGATGGCAACCAATGACAACTATGTGTACATATATGCTGGTACCCTGGGTAGGGAATGGATACAATGGAATGATGGGGAACCAATGAAAAAAAAAGTACAATGACCTTGGGAACTGAAAACATCTGCTACTGCTTGGAAACTAGGAACCTTGCTCGAGAATATTCACTGAAATCTGCTTCAATCATCGGGGGAAAAAAATTGTGACAAACTTGAGGAAATGTTCACTTTGATTTGTTTAACAGGTCCAATAAACAGATCCACTAAAGCTCCCACTGCATGTTATTTTGGCCAATCACAGCCACGATTTACCTCCGACTTGCATGCACGCATGTCTGACGCATACTGGCATGTGAACATGTGGGTACAATGTGTGATTCCATCTAGATGCAGTATGGCATTGGAGAGGTGCATGTGATATTGCCTGCATACATGTATGCGCAGTGGGCGTGGCCTAATGACTTCCATGTTAAACACGGATGAAATTTACACTTACATACATGTAAACTATTTCATATGGGCTGGGTAACACAAAGGTCTCTTCTGGGTACCCCTAACACCAACCCTCAACACATAACAATGTAGAGAGGTTCCTGCAGGATATATGATATCCCACACAGCATGCACTGATTCTGTGCACTCCAGTTGAATGCATTGTACCTATATACCTACAACTTATTCTTGTCAACTTCAGTTTACATTTGGCCCAACTTAAAACTGCAATCGCTTGAAGGGGTGTTTACAATTGCTTTGTCCAGTCTTGAAGAGGCCCACTCAACTTCCTGGTATCTGGGTCACTGCTTCGGGTCATCGTGTAAACCAATGCACACTTCGGACCAAGGGGTCATGGAGTCATGTCGTTGAAACTAATAAAACCGATTTGGACTTGTGTTCAGTATTTGTGCACATCCCAATATTTTGATTGTGAAAGTCAACAACATGTGGATCATATTACAAATGGGCAGCTTTTTCAATGTATCTATGGGTCTCCGTTAAGAGAAAAAAATACAAAGGGTTTTAGGGACGTGGGATTCAATTTATCAATGTACCGGTATATATCGTCTTTGATTTAAATTGTAAAAAAACGTTACAAACTCACGAATTAAAAGCTGTCTCATCCTCAGCACTTTGAATATTTTTTGGTGCCAATTTTTTTCCTGCATGATTTTTCCAATATTGTGCCGCCCACGGAGGGGGGAGGGGGGCTTTGGACCCCTTAACACCCCCCCCCCCCCCACCAGATCCACCATTGGGCTTGCCAATACATGTAAGATTTCATTCACTTTTTCCCCTCCAACTCCATGAAAGAATAAGATGAGTGACATCAGGTGTCCCGGAATCATTCACCGTGCATTACTCTAAAGATATCGGACCGGATTTCTTATCATTCTGTTCATCAAGATGACAATCCAGAGATGACAGGTCACATATAGCACTGTGGTTTACGTCAAGCAAGCTGTGACCCGTTCTTCTCATGACTCTATGGTTGGTATAAAGCAGGATGCGCATTGCAGTCAGTGTTGCAGTCAGCTTCAGCAGCTCAGTATGTCATACCTGCCAACATTTGAAAGCCTGCAATATCGAGCCCCCGAATGATACAACTCTGCAAATATCTTTTCGTCAAATTATTCTAACTTTTAGCACCCTTAATTAACCCTAACCCACCTCACTCCTCCAAAATCCTCCTGGCGGTTTTGGAGGATTCTAGAGGATTGAGGATGAATGGTGATTGAATCAAATGAGGATTCTGGAGGATTGAGGATGAATGATGATTGAAGCACATGAGGATTTTGGAGGATTTTGGAGGATTGAGGATGAATGGTGATTGAAGCACAAGAGGATTTTGGAGGATTGAGGATGAATGCATTTTGAGGCAGGACTGTCTGATGATTTTGAGGATTTGGCGTTGGTTATCCTTCATTTAAACACGAGTGCAAAGTTTTGGGATGAGGAGGATTGAGGAGGATTGAGGATGAATGCATTTTGAGGCAGGACTGTCTGACAATTTTGAAAAATTTAGGCGGAGTTGAAAATTTTTGGAGGATTGAGGATGGTTGTAAGCAACAAGGGCCTAGGGGGTTAGGGTTAAAGTAGCCACAGTTTCTGTAAATATTAAACCTAAATCCACCCATAAAACTCACACATCTTCTCTTCACATTGAAATCCAAAGAACCAAGAAGGGGAAACCCTGGAAATTCATTAACCCTAACCCTACTCAATCCTCGGAAATCAACCAGGCAGTCTGGGAGGATTGAGGCTGAATGCCAAGGAAGTGTCAGTGATTTTGGAGGATGCATCATGTCAAAGTCACAGGGTAGGACACTGAAGTGTATGTTCAACCATGCATAATTGAGGCCTACTTTATACTGCATACAAGCGGCACTGCTTCCGGATATCATCAGCACTGCCTCAATGTATTAACAGTGATTGTTGGAGGATTTTGAGGGATTGAGGCAGTGGTCATTCCTCCACGAAACAAATTCAAGGAATAAGGAACAAGTTCGGAGGATTTCAGAAAATTGTATCAAATTTTCCCATGCAGGCAGTTGGAGTATTTTGAAGGATTGAGGATGCATCCTTGCAAATTTTTAAAAGGGCCAAGGCGGATAGGTTTAAGAACAGTTTTTAAAATGAAGTTATATGGGTCTTGGGAGGAAATTGACTGACCTCATTTGACGGGTCACCGTAGGGAATCTTCAATGTGTCCATGGCCCTGATCATTGCATTTGCCGCCATGAAGATGTTCTGGTATACCAGTTTGGTGAATGTTTTCCGGTCTTCTTCTGAGTAGCCCGACCCATGGATAATCCTCATCTGTTTGATAAACGTACTCTTCCCACTCTCCCCAGTACCTGCAGAAATGGAAAGGAAAAATGTGTAAAAAGTCAAGTTTTTGTCTTCTAGTAAAAGAGGTTTCCTGAAGTTACACCCTGCAATGCCTAGATTTCAGCTTTTCCATCTTAGCCCTAACCTTCCCAACTCCATCAAAATCCATCCTCCCATTTTGGGGAATTTTGGCAGATATGCCATGTGTACCAAGTCCATCAAAATACACCAATACAGTGGTCAATGATGGATTTTGACGGTCTTGGTCCTCTATTTCATAAAGTAGGGAGTTAGGGTTAATAATGGCTTCTTTTTTTTAATTTCTCGGAACACCTTCACTACAAATACAATGCACCTGTAGTTTGGGTGATCTCAACAGACCTTCCATGTACATGTATGCATTAGGACGGAGTTAGAGGGAAATGGTCTTGTATCACTAGGATAGGTGTGAGCAAACCTATTGTGAATTCATTTTTACTAAATTAAAACAAAGAATACCCTCCGAGACACCCGCAATGCATGAGGCCTGTATTAAACATACATGTCCTCTTCAAAAAATAATGTTTAGTGTCATGTACAGTTAAACCACACTCTCACACATACACACTCTCACCACACACAGAATCACACAGAAATCGCTGGAGTGGTTTTACTGAAGAAGAGGCACAAGGTCCTCTGTGGAACTTTCAAAGCGAGAGTGGCTTGTCTGAACTAGACACATCAAAATTAAGCACATTTTTTTGACATTAGTGACCACAAATACACAGAAATTCCTGCAGATTGCTGACTTTGGAGAATGTAGTAATTGCCAAGGGAGGTGAGGTTTACCACCATAACTAAGGGGAATAAAAGGTTTGCTTGGCAAAACTTAAATGTAAATAGTAAATTGTACAGAGCTGCATTTTCTGCATACGTTTGCATTCACTCCCATGAGAGCTGCCAGCTATAATACAAGTTTTTGTGACTGAAAATGTGTTGATGAAACCAAATTAACAGCCCCCTTTAAAAAAAAAACTACAAAAACTCAACACCTGAAGCACACAGAGACCACTCAGTAAGGAACAAATATGCATGCGTGTGTACATTAGCCATGTCATGACACCATGCTGGATAAAAAAAAAAAGAATAAGCGAGCACCTTTAAATGTGGTTTCCGTTGCCCCGGCAACCTTTTCGGCAACATTTCCAGCCTACAATTAACATTATGCCTCCCACTCCAATCCCCATTGTCCCGACTACACGCATGGTTTACGCTGACCTGCATGAAGGATTGAGGGCTTTGTGGCCGGGCCCAGGCAACACAAGACCATCAAGTCAAAATTGACAGACGACAAAGGAGATTTTGGCTTCTGTAGTCAAATTGCTCCGCAATGCTGCGTCCAATTTTAATGATTTTTTTTTTCTTCCCTACCTTGGTTAATGAAATTTGAAAACCATGACTTGCTGTTTAGGTGAAACAGCGAGGTGCATGGTACACGTACCATGTACAATGCAGGCTTGAAATCTGCATGCTCAAGGAGACTTATGTCGGACGTTTGATGGATGAACGTAACAGAAACATTTACATGTACCAGTACATGTCAGACCCTTCCTCCATGATCAGACATGCTAATTATGGGCTTGCTATTAGCAGATGTTCATTTTATGCACAGTATGATCAAAAGACGTTGCATATCTTTTGTGAGTCATAGTGCGCATTTTGAGTCTGGCGAATGAATCAAACATCATTTTTGCCTGTGGTGTTTAGCTGGGATTATTGCTATTATTTAGCTGGGATTGGATCGGCTTAATTTGTGTGTTTTTTGTTCACATGTAAATGAACATACCGGTAGGTAAAAATATTCCATAAAGAAACAATCAATTACATGTATTATTACTTTGTATCACCAAAAGTGTATTAAAATTGTAGTCTGATGTTCGGTCACAGTGATGTATGTATTGTTGCTTCTAACTACATGTACATGTAATGTACCATTCACAAAGTGTCATTCTCGTAGAGACATCGACAGATTACATACGTGCAGTAGATATGGTCCTGCACGCATACTGTTTTTTGTCTTACCATAGAGCTAAAAACCCATGGTCTTACATGTATACCCATACATGAGGTCCATGTGGTACTGGTCAGTGAAACAAACATTTGGTTAAATGTACGCTGGCCTTAGGTAGAACTGTCCCTGTTTTGATTAAGAGGACGATGCTTCTGAGAAGAACAAGTGAATAAACACTTGACATTTTGGTTACTACATGTATGCTCTGACTATCTTCCCCTTTTTTTTTTCTTGTCTTCAACAATGTTACATATTGATCACATGTTACAGATCAGATGACCTTAGCATTCTGATCAAATTGTCACTGTTTACTCAACAGTAATGTCTCTGGACACTCCATGGAAAAATCTACACTGTATGCATGAGGGTAACGTACGTAGCAGTACCTACACATCTTTAACAAAGTACAGGCTATATTAAAAAGGCCACTAAAATCTTTGTATTTATCATGTAGGTAAATAAAGCAAGTTAGCATTTGAAAACAAAAACCTGAAATTGCACATTCAGCTTGCATACAAAATTGAAGGAAATCGTGGCAAATCCTCCCAGCTCACATATTTCCTCCACTCATCTCAAAGGAATTCTGGGTAATCCAATGCATGAATTTCGTCTAGTCGTCGTCGTTCGGATGACTGTTGTTAAGCATCATGTATCTACAGTACGTACATACTTGGTGTTCTGCCCCTCAGAGTGACTATGCACAGACTCGATTCCAGGCAGTTCAGCCGAGTCAAGGCCGAATCTGCAGATATGCATACCTTTCAGGGCAGCTCTCGTCATACACTGTAGTGCACCTACATGTACCAATGTAATCGGATGTACAGTATATCTTGCGTCGCCACATGGTTTCAATTGCAACATCTTCAACATTTCTTTGGAAGATCATGCGCACATTACTAATACCCAGCAGAGATTACTACAAATGAAAATAATGTGATCATATGATCTGCGCATCAACGGTAGATGGCGCTGTGTAGTATTCTCATCAGTGCCAATGGAGGACACTTTGCGAATGGCAAGGAATGCAAGTGTCCAATCTATATATATAAGAGAGAAGTTTACTCGCCCCCGAGACGATGTTTGCTCCTGAAAGGATCCGAGACCACGGGCTCCCGCTGCGCGAAAATCGCTCCACGTCCGTGGAAAAATACGGAGGGTGTCTTCCGCCGGGTCGGACACTTCGGGTCGTCCTGATTTTCCCGTACGGACCGGCGATCCTTTTCGTCGATTTTTCGTGACTGCCTTTTCGCAGGAATTTGCCGTCGTGTGCGCTTTCACGTTGACTGCCTGGCCGCCCCCTGTGCTGGCTTCTCTGCGTGTCTAGACTGTGCGAGGTCAGCGAGGTCAACGTAGGGGTTTCGTTTACGTGTTCTACTCAGCCGTTCTGCAAAAGCGTTCACCAAATTGTGTTATGGGGTGACCTTGGTAAAATATGTTTTCTCCATGGTGCGTGGCCACCAAGTGCCCCTATTCTTTCATATGCTTCGCTTGCCGCCCCTGCGCCGTGTGCAACGAATACTCAGAAGGACTACACATTAAGTATGCCTTGCGCGGTCTGACCACGGTCTGACCACTGCGTAGTCTACACTGCGTAGTATTTCCGGGCTATGCAAAACTGTCAATGGCAAGGCGTACTGCAGCCTGCTCCACACCCTGGAAACGAGGTTGGGTCTACGGTTCTCGCTATTTGCATGATTTGAAGCACAAGCATGTGAGTGACGTGATAGTGCTCTGTTGCTTCCATCGTGTGTTAATACAGCTCCATGCTTCCACCAAGGCTGAGCGTTGTGAGTTCGCTGCCCGCCACAGTGTTGCGTTATAATTTCGGGGGCCTGTCTGGGATCAACGAAGGATCGATGCATTGCTTCAAACATCGAGATCTTAAACGCAGTCACACAAAAAATCAACGAAAATGTGTCCGATCCGGCGTAAGACACCCTCCACATTTTTCCACGGACGTGGAGCGATTTTGGCGTGGCGAAAGACCGCGGTCTCAGATCGTTTCAGGAGGCCGAGTAAATTTGCTCTTATATAGATGGTTGCCCCAAGTTGAATAACAGTTGACTCGACAAGTTCCTCGCAGACAGTCTCGCAAATTGTAAGACGTTCAAGTTTACGTTTGTTGAAGAGTCCAATATACTGAAACTTAATTATGACCTTCTTAATCAGCCTTCGCCTGTGTACTACGGCAAGCCTTTCAAGTACGTTTTCCCACAAATGAAAATGCCAATTTAACAGAACGGGAACATTTACAGACTGTTGCCATGGTACATAATTGTTAGTGGTCAGAAATTGCCTCAGATCGCACCACAGAAATTGCTTTTCTATAACTGCATGTCTTCTCAACTAAATCCCCCAGTTACATTCATCTCCCCACATTTTCATCCCCAACTCTACGCCCTACCCGATCTATGATCGGGTAAATCAACAAGGGATCGATGCATTGCTTCAAATATTGTGATCTTTGAACTATGTTGGGTTGGAATAACGAAGAGTGCATAAATAATAATATTGGCGGTTGTTGGCTGTTTGGCCTTGCTTATATTATGGTTGAACCATGCCAACTTGAATAAAATAGTTAAATCGACTTTTTCCTCGCGGGTCTCGCAAATTGTAAGAAGTTCAAGTTTACGTTTGTTGAAGAGTCCAATTTCATAATGACCTTCCTCCATGATTCAGACTATGTAATTTTATGGTAACACACTCAACATTTTTACTGCAAATGCCACCTTCACGATTTATTCCATTATGATTTACTGTCAAAACAGTACAATCAGCCTTCGCCTGTGTACTATACGGTAAGTCTTTCAACTCAGTTTTCCCACATTAACAAACGCGACTGCCTCACAAAATGCAATTTAACAGACCAACGGGAAAATTTACAGACAGTTATACATGCCATGGTACATAATTATCATGGGCGCGGCGTCAATCGGTGGGGGACGGGGGACCCCCACCCCAACATTTTAAAGCGGG